CCCCTTGTTTTCACCTGCCCTGTGTGTCCAGACACCCCTCCCCTTCTCTCCACACCAAAAACAAAAAAAAACAAAAAACAAAGAAATCCTGACCCGTCTAAGAGGAGCCTGTAGTTTCTTCTTGCTATGTGAGTGGGTAACTCGATTCCAGTGAAATAGGCTGCTGAGGGGCTTCTTGCAAGTAGTTCGTTATCCTTAACTAGGAGGGAAAAGACCGCTTCTTCTCCTCTGGACACTGGTCAAGTCACGATGCCTGCAGCACCAACACAGAGGTGCACCAGAGACTGTGCTGGGGTAGAGGGCTGGATATTCTAGGGCTCTGGGCCCTTGGAGCCACCTATGTCAGGACTCAAAAGATATAAACCTCCCTCCCGTTTAAGCCATTTGAGTGTATTATTTATTTTTACAAAGCCCAAAGTATCCTGGATCCAGGCTACTGTGACTGTCCCATGATGGCTAAGAGTGCACTTCAAGACAGGGCCAAGAAAGCCCACGTGACATTATCTCACCACGTCCGGGCTTCAGCTCAGGACAGTGCTGCCGCTGAGCATGCCAAAGTTGCCGTCTGTCTCAGACAAGGTCCTCACCATGCACTTGAGGTTTGCTTGCATTTTTGAGCCCCTGCATGCTTATGATCCCAAGTCAGTCAGAGCAGATTACCCCGGAAAACACTCGAGCTCTCCCTAATTATCCTATTGGGTCACCAGGGAAGTCACATATTTTTGCATAGAAAAATGCCCTTTTCCTACAACCCAATAATTTGGGGCAATGTATAGACCAGCAAGCACCAACGAAAATTAGTACTAAGAACAAACAAAGCCTCTCACCAAGACAACACACACCTCACAGCACGGGATTGAGCCACAGCAAAAGCACAGTAGAGCTGCTAGCATACTCCCCGGCTCAACGACTTCTACTTGGCTCAACTCAGCGATCAGTAAAGAAACCCAACTGCAGCTCTCTTGAATTCGGCAACTTCTGCTCAAATACCAACCTGCGATTCCACTCTCAGGAAATCCACTCTAAGACATCTGAAATGATTCTAAGTTGGGCGCTTGATCCCAACTTCCTTGCTCATTATGTGCGTTAATTTTAAACTAATGTCTTACCTCCGAGTCTCCTCATCTACAGAATGGGTGTAGCAGCACGACCTATTAAGAGTTTTAACCGCCCGTTCCACCTTTCTGACACACAAGGCAAGTTCACAGCCTCTGACGTACTTTAAAATATAAAAAATACAGCTGAGTGGTCTGAGAGAGCGGATTGCAAACATGAATTTACTGCAAGTTCTACACTCTGGCAGACAACCTGCTCGGCCTCCGAAGCTCCTCTCCAACTAAAGCAACCAGAGAGTCCCTACTGACACGTTAGCAGGTCTACCTAGAAGTATCGCCTGCCTCGCTCTTACACCCTCTTGCTTAGCGGCAGCCTACAGTTCAATCTGCTAACTTATTACCAATTTCACACATCACAAACATAGACCAAGTGGAGAAGCTCGTTATTAGCTACCAGGCCAAAACCTAAGATCTACCCAAAAACCTGCACGTGAAAGCACGCTTCAGGGAACACCGCACAGCCAAGCACCGACACCACTTCTCTGCTCCCTGCCGGGACCCTGCCTGACTCAACCCGCCATGTGTTATGGAGACCAGAAGTCCACGAAAGATCATGTGGCCACATGGGGAACCACACCTCACCTCTGAATGCATCCTGTCCCAAGAGACTTGGGAGAAAGCAGGTTCCCCCACTTGCGGGAAAAGACAAGAGGCAGCATTCCAAGCCAAACTGTATCCAGCTTTATTAAAGATACTTTTCATAAACAATCATGGTATTTCAGGCAGGACATGGGCAGACAATCATTAACAGTATACAACAACTTTCAAACTCCCTTCTTCAATGGACTACCAAAATCAGAAAGCCACTATAAAACCCAATGAAGTCTTCATTTGATGCTCTCAACAGGGAAAGTTTAGAGTGAGGGTTGACATTTCACATTTAGCATGTTGTTTAACAACTTTTCACGAGCCGACCCTGACTTTCGGGAAATGAAAATGGCAGAATATCAACCTGAAGATCCAACAATACAGAAAAGGAACTGCTGCTCTTTTGAAGGACGCCATCTCAATGTCATTGGAAAGTCCAGATTGCCTGACATACTGGCATAACCAATTTCCTGTGGTCAGGTCCCACAGGTCTCTGGTGTAAGGGAGTTAAGTCTATGCTGAAGGCAGAGAGGGAGAGGACATAAAAGCAAATGTTGAGTTTTCCACACCACAAGGCATCTGTGCCAAGGTGGCTGTGTGTCAGGGAATCCCTCCTCTCGGGAGCCAAGAGGAAGTCTCTCAAAACTAGAAGGGAAAGATGTCCAAATCAATCCAGCTTCAGAGACATTCTATTAGTGACAAATGCCCCTTCCCCAAAAAACAACAATGAAGTGTTCTGTGTGCTAACAACATAGCTTAAAAAAAAAAGGTAAAACAAAATTCTGCATTTTTATAAAACTTGATAAAAAATAGTATTTCAAACTGTACAGTCACCAGAAGTACACAGTTATCAAAAATGCACACACTTCACTTGGCATCTCCAGCACCTTCAGCTTTCTGTGCCTAAAAGAGAAAAGAAGTTAATGCAACATATAGATTTTCTGAAGTTCTCTTTGCTCATGTCCATCCACAGCATCCTTTTGTTCCCAGGCCAAAGCTCAGGTCTCAGGTACTTAAGATACTGAGGCCCAGAGCAGTCAGTCTCCTCCCCTCTGGGTCCCATAAAACTGGGAAAAAGGAGACAACAGAATTTGAGGATCTAAGGTGGTTCCAGTTTTTAAGACTTCTAGTGCAGCACAAATGTGAAACCCCACAACAGGATGACAGGGCCCTTTAACAGAAACTAAGAACTAAGGATTTAAGTCAACAGGGAAGAAACCAACTCTAGGCTGAAAGGCCCACTTGGAGTGTCGTAGTCAAGAAAAACATCCATTTGTAAAGTTTTGGGGATTAGTAACTAACTGAATGAGCAGACCCAATAAAAAATGTGACAGCAGCATACCTGGTCTGTTTTGGCATCTCCGTTTTCTGCAGGGTTGTTCCCATCCTTGCCAGCATCAGCTTTTCCCTTTTTTCCTTTGGGTACCTTCTCTCCCTTCTAGAGGTATGGAAAAAATACAGCCATTTTACCCCTATTTCTCACTACCAGGATATGGTCTGGAAAATTCAGTACAAGGCAGGTCTGCTTACTAAAAAACACACCCTCACTGATGGATATGACTCATCGACCTAGGCGAAATTACCTCGAGTTTGCTATAGCCTTCAGTAAACTAGAATTCCTATCTAGGTAATGATACCAAGCCAACTAAACACTTGCGTGTTTAATACTTAAATGCACTTTCCTATAAAATGATGCCGGCACTTCTTGGGAGGAAACCAATGCTACAAATGCCACAAATAAGTGACATTATACAAACAGTTTACGACACTCACTACCCAAGTCGCCACCGAGTCCAGGGTGCTGAGGAACAGTCGTCACTGAGAACGTGAGCGATCCTTTGTCAGCACTGTTTCCCAGCCCCACTTACCTTTGCAGGGGCCTTTTTAGGCTTGGGCTCTGGCTTTGGAGGAGCAGGTTTCTTTTTTTGTGGCAGGGAGAGAAAGCAAATGAGAGCATTAATGGAGTGAACAAAAGGAAACTACCCATAACCAACGACCAACCGCATCGACTACTTGGAAGTTTCTACTTTCTACAAGTTCACCTGGCTGACTTTTTGAGAATGCTCAACCTTCAGAAATCTGCTCAAGTAACATTCTGAAGGGTCCCACTTTGGCTCTAGCCATCACAATTTCAGAACCAGCACATTCCAAATAGATCAGAGTCCAAAGAAGAGCAGACCATTCAAAACCAGCCCCCAACTGTAATTCGCGGAGAGCAAGGGAGATCTCTTAATGCTTTAGTTCACGGATAAGGATGAGAACTTGAAAGTATGTATACTTACTGCAGACAACCTTGCAGATCTTCTCTGTGGCTATTTAAAAAACGAGAAAGTTAGAAATAGTAGAGATCAACTGCTTAAGAAAAACAAGGTTTGGGGTCCATTTGTTCTAACTATAGGAAGTGCCCAGACCTTATTTCGGGGTTCCGATTTATTACCAACAAAGGAATGCCCTGGTCTTACAACTCCCAGGCTTTACAGGGCTCCTTCAAGGGAACAATACTTACTTCGTCCTTCACCTTGGCTTTATCTCCTTTAGCATCCCCTTCAGCCTATAAAACACAAAGGACGGTTTCTTTGGTAATTCGTAGTTTTTCCGTAAGCTAATAAACCCCTAAGGACAAAGAAACTAAGGGATTTGTACACAACTTTCCAGGACACACACAAACGGTCAGTTTTCAGCATGTCGGGCTCCTATGCAAATAACCTAGAGCGCACTCAAGAGCAGAGCGCGACCCCGAGGGTGGACGAGGGGCCTGGGCCTACAGCCCCGCGAAGCGCGAGCTCCGCTAGAGCCAGGCCGGGCAGGGCAGCTCGCGCCACCGCGCCAGGCAGCAGCAACAGCTGCAGATGGTGCAAACAAACCCTCCGGAGGCGGAGCCGGGCGCCGTTGCCATAGCAGCCGTCGAGGGCGGGCAAGGGGCGGCGCGCGCAGCCGGGGAACTCGTGGGTGGCGGCGGCGCGCGTCTCGTGCGCGGGGAACGTGGGCGGGCAGAGGCGGGGCCATCGGCGCAGGCCCC